TATTGTGGAGGTCTTCTGTTACTTTCCCACACTCCAGTCTCCCATACCGCACCCCCCAAATTTTCATGCAGTATTTAGGTGAAATACCTCCTTCACCATTTAATTTTTGTTGCTCTGGAGCAGTAATCTTGAACCTGGTATGAGCATAGCAGAAAGGTGGGTCTCCCTGCCACAACGAATTCACAGCTGAACTTGAAATAAGTGATGTATAGGAAAGACTAAGGGCAAAGTATGTGGTTTCACAGCATCTTGCTTAGCAGCGCATGCTTCCTGCGCAGCGTGGCTGTTGATGGAAGGAGTGAGCTGTCAGGGTGCCTGGGAAATTTCATTTCAGTTAAAAAGGGGGAAAGAGAAAGGGGCGGGCGGGGAGCTAATTTAAATTTTAATGTCTCTATTATAGTTAGATGTACCCTAGGTGATAATCAGGAATTAGCATATTTTAGCGGAGTCGACAGTGGCGTGGCGTTGCGGGAGCCCCTGCACGTCTGCAGGCACATACTCATGACCATATATAGGCACAGCCAGCATAGAAGGTCGGGCTTTTTCAGTTCCGATGTGCCAGGAACAGGAAGAGTGGTTTGGGGGCATCTGAAGTCACTGCATGTAACTTCTTTAAAATAAAACAAACTTCAGAATGTCTCAGACTGGAAAAGGTAGAGAAGTAGTATTTCTCTGTGTATCTGATGGGTGTCATGCCTTGAGATAAATTAGATTGTGAAATAAAGTATGAAAACAAGGCAGATTTAGCGTAACTGAGACCGTTCTGTACATTGCTACCTCTGTACTTGTGTAATCTGAAAACTGCAAATACTGTAGTAACTGAATGTAGGTATTTGTTGATAGACCAGTTGTTTTAATCTCTAGCAGAATGAAGAATTAGGCATTACTATGCCTGATATCCATGCTCATCGCATACAATAAACCTGTCCTTTTCTCTTTTCCAAGCTTCTCAGTCTGAATTTTCACCTTAATTGAAATAGTTCACTTTATAAAATCAAAAAGTTTGTAACTGCTGAGTAGCATTTAGCTTCACTTGAATTGGGAAAGTAAATCTCACTAGCTTTTACCTACTGATATCAGGCTTACATTTAAATGAGACTGGTGTATATGGGAAAATCAGATAAACAGAACACCTGCAGTGGGGAATGCTTCCCTTTCAATGTTTCAGAAGTCGTGGGGTTTTTTTATAACTTCCTCTTAGCTTCTGTAGGATTTGTCCAAATTAATGCTCAAATCTGCATGAAGTCATATTTCATTAAAACATATTTATATTGGTTTTGTGCATTCAAGGAATTTAATATAGCAAATGTGCAATTCCTTACACAGGCCTATGGTAAAAGGTGTTTTCAAGACCTGTTTCTTGTGAACGACTGATGATCAGGTGTCTGTAAATCCAATCTTGGAAACTTCATCAATAAAATGGTGTCTTAAACTTTAGGTGGTGTTTTAGAAGTAACTAGAGTAATAAGTGGAGAAATTTCAGGTGTTTTATCAATCTTGGCTTTTGAGTTTTCTGAAGAAATACTCAACTGTAAGCTCATCTTTTGTTACTTGCTGATACATGTATAATGTTCTTGTACTGTGTGTGAAGGTGCAGTTCTCTTTAATGAAAGATTTAGACTCCTAAAATGTTTTGTTGCTGTTTTGACTTGTTCAAATCAGTTTTTACCAATTTTTTAAATTCTCAATGTATTGAATAACCAGCATTGCTTTCAACTGTAATGCATTTGATTGTCATGTTTTCTTAAACAATTTTCAGCAAAAAACTTACTTTCTCAACTGGACTGTATTGTGGTTGAGGTTTTTTGCCTGTCACTTTGTATTACAAGTAATGTGCCTCTTGCTATATGTGCATTAATTTATTTTTTTTTTATTTGCCCATGAACCAATGTCCATTTTATGTGGGCTGTCCCTTTGTTGAAATTGTACTTAAAGTGATAGCTGAGCCAGTGGCTTTTTACTTCCAAAAGCTGAGATCTTCATCTCACGGAGGCTCATGAAAGTGTATTATTTTATCCTTTAGTTATCAATCTGGTTTTGGAAAACAGAAGCCTGCTTTAGAGCACTTATTTCTGGAAAAGCTCAGTGGCAATAAAGAAGCTGGAGGTGCTTTTCAGTTCTTATGTGTTGTGAGACTATTGGATTTAATTATTTTATATGGGCTTCTTGTATGTATGAGTTGGGGAAATACGGCTTTTTCAGATAAACATCTCCACAGATAAGTTAATTCGATTTAACTGCTGAAGAAAAGTGGATTAGTTTTAAATGGGCTTCACAAAGGCAGGTTAGCAAAATGCAAACAAAGTGTCTTGGCTAACAGAATCTTAACTTATGAGGGCGCTTTAGTTTTGCCTCTGTAAGCATGAATATACTTTATACTTCTCGATGAGATGGTCAGTGCCAATTTGCATGATTGTGTTTGTCCTATACAAAGTGGTGTTATGCTGAATTATGCTTAAATTCTCATTGAGGAATTGAATTTACTAGTAAAATGTTCATTAATGTTGAGATTGGTCTGTCCTGAGGAAATGTTGTTACTGTTGAATACTTCTGAATAGATTATTACTGATACTATAGCTAATCTGACTAATATTTCTTATTGATAGCAAAAAAGAGAAGCAAACCCACTTTTACATTACCAAAACAGCTGAAAAAGAGGTATTATTCCAGTTTTAGTATAGACTTAATATCTCACAGATATTACCAGTTTAAAGCACATGGTCATTCAGAATGCAGTTTGGGCACGCAAATTTTGTTTAACTGAGTTCATTTAGCTGTTGCCCAGCCCAAAACTGATGGAACTTTTATTCAGAACTCAGAATGTCTCTAGGTCTTGTGTCTCTGCTTGCCCAGAGCTAACCCAGCCTTGGCAGGGGTGAGCAGTCCTGTTCACATTCTGAAGCCAAGGAACCAAGAAACAGTGTCCCTTAATCTAACTTTGAGCTGGGAGTCAGCCTTATAGCCATGCTGAAAGCACAACTAAATACCCACTCTTAAGTACAAGGCCTAAATTTCAGTCTGATCTCAGACGGTTAATTGGTCATTTGATGAAATGTCCTGGTAATGGAGCCATGAAGCCTCTCTTGGCCTTCTCCTTCATGAGTGCTTTAATAGTACTGTAGCTTGGCTGTATTTCACATCCCCTAGATTTCTTTGGATTGAGCATTGAGCTGTGTACGCTGTACAGAGTGCCCAGACTTTAGCAGGATGGGTATGGAGTATGTCTTCACTGGGAAGAGTGTTCAAATTGATGACTGGTGTAATTTAGCTAATGCAGATGAGTTTATGTTCCTTTGGGTCAAAGGAGACAATCTAAGTCATGCTTTCGTGGGCAAGTGCTTTAATAAGCTGCTGTAGGAGATGCTCTTGCCTCTCTGTGTCTCTTTTGAGAAGAGTAAACCATGTAGCATTTATCTCAATATAATGCAAATTTATGTTCAGATGGGAAGAGGAGTTCTGATATAACTATTTGAAGCAGCACATGAAGGCTGTGTGCAATCCAAGAGGTACCATTCTGTTTGGGAAATTGGGAAGTGACAGCCTTTCCATTTCCATTTGCAGCTCTGAGTGATGTGCTGACTTTTAGCAGAAAGCTGCCTGGCTAGTCGTCTGGGATTTCAATGAGGACTGAACACTACTAATGAGGCAGCTAAGCACTCTCTGGGGGCACTCTAAACTTGAATTACCTCTCCTGGAGACCACTGTCTGAAACTTGGTCCCTGTCAAGAACCAGGCTCGAGCACTGCTGTACTGCTATGCTCAACTGTAAAAGCTATTTACAAGTCAGTTCAGGAGTTCTGTCATGCTCAGACAGTTCTTTTGTAGTTTCAGATATATATAAATGTGTAAATGTAAAGCATTCTTTAGTTATTTTTAGGTATTTGTTAATGGAGTGTGTGCTTCTCAAACATTTTGATTTCAAATGGGAAACTCAGTGTGCAGACACTGAATCTCCCAGTTCTTTATTCCATAGAAACATAATTGAAGGTGTTGGAATGGGAACTGTGGTTCAGGTAGTATCCTGAATAGCGGCATCGTATCAAGGATGCAAGAGAGCTTTGAATGTGTCCTGTAAAGTGTAAATGATAGGAACTTTTGTCAGGTTAAGTTAGGAAACCAGCATTTCCTTATTTATTTTTATAATGGGTGCCCTTAACAGTTTAAGGGGGAAAGAAGAAGCAAGTCTGCTGAGTAACATTCTTCAAGTAAGGTAAGAGTTGAAAAGCTTTAAGGTTGCTTCACTTCAAAAAACATTTTTATGTTCCTTTAGCAAGCATATGTGTCTGAAGCTGTGCAGTGAACCAGTTTGGGGAAAAAAAAAACCCACAAACTTTTCTAATTTTGCTCACTGAGTTGTACAAGTGCTTGTGCTAGAAGGAGGGAGAAAGCCAGGGCAAGTGCACCTGCGCTGCACTTGTGGTAGTACTGGATTATGCTGGTTTTGTCTGCAAGAAGTTGTGGCTGAAGGCAATTGCTTGAGGACTTGCATTATTCTCAAGGTGGTTTTTGTTAAACTTTATCTGCTGATGACTGTGGCACTGATGCCTTACAGGTAGATGCAGGTGAAATTACATGCTTCAGTGTCTGTGCAAGTGTTTTTTAATCTTATGTAATCTATTGATTGCTGTCTAGCTATGGGCCTTTTGTAAAGTTCAGAACCATAGGATGTGTAGTAAAAGTAGAGGTAAGGCTTTAAAGATGAAATAAATGCATCTTCATCGTGTGTTTTGGCTCTCTTGGAATGTGTGACTCCCAGGCATCTATGGACTGAAAGTTGAAATACATTGTGAATATATTTCTGATCCTATTTGTTATATTAATCTTCTTCTTTTTGCCAGTAATACAAAATATGAGTGACTCAATTTCTCTATCTGCTTCCATCACATACAGTCGACTCTATTCTGTTTGAAGAGGTGGAACTTTATATTCTGTGTTTCTAACAGGAGTTTTACAGTTTCATGTCATTAAAGCTATACAATGCATCATTGGTTTGAATAGGAATGGATATAAGTATATACAACCACATAATTGTTTTTGTATTTAAGGTGCGTATAGCAGCAAAATTCATAATTCATGCTCCTCCTGGGGAATTCAATGAAGTGTTCAATGGTGAGTATCTATCTGCCCTGTCTTTCTATTTAAGGCATCTATATCCAAAATTGTACTGCTGATCACTCTTCTGAATTTCATGTAGCTTGTATTTTAACAGCTCGCTTGCTGTAAGAGCTAGTTTTGTAGTTTGGCATAATAAGCTTTGCAGTCACAAGATTGGAATTTAAATACAAAAGGAGGAAAGTACCGCTTTTCTTTGTGATGTGAGAATGAGCTTTTTTTTTTTAATCAGTCATGAATTAACAGTTGCTAGAGTTTTAGTTTAGAAGACATATGTACTCTTTTTTTTTTTTTTGCAGTCTTTGACAGACAATTAAATTTTTCAGCAGAAATTAAACTAGCTGAAATTAAAATGATCGTCTTTTAAAGAAAGAATATAATTAAAAATACATAGCTTTGAGTATACAAAGAACTATTCCTTAATGCTGGTTGTGGAAGGAATATTAATTTTCTCCAAACATTTTTAACCCTTAAATTCTGGGCACACTTAATTTTTCTGAATGTACTGGTAAACTGAAAGGAAATTTGAAATTAGCTTCTCTCAAATTATTGTTGCCTGAACTTTACCTAAGATGTTAAGTTTCATTAAAAATTGTCTTGCATCATGACACGTGGGCATACATTTCAGATGAGAAGGCATATGTTTTGTAGCTGTAACTTACAAATATCTCTGATACTATTTAAGTAAAGAAGTTTAGAATACTAAACTTCTAGTCAGTGTCAGACTAGAGAGAGCTTAATATTAAAGAATGTAACATTTTCATAAATACCTTATTCTTCAGTTAAACTGTGACTAGCTGATTATTAGTTAAACCTAGGTTGTACTGCATTTGTGAAATGAACTGTTGGTGGGCAGCTCATTAACCCAGCTCCCTGAAGGTCAATACAATTTTTTATAGCAGTATTGCTATAAACTTTATTGTTGTTAGTTCATAGTTGCAACTACCAGCTCAGTAACAGATGCACGACCAGTATTTAATGAGATTCAGACTGACTTCTTAAAAAAAAAAGCAAGCTTTAAGTTCTAATAGTGTAAATTGTGATTTTGTTTAGTTTGATGTGGGGTTTGAGTTTAAGGGGTGTTTTTTTTCATTTGGGGTGTTTTGTTGTTTTGTGTTTTGGTTTGGGCTTTGTTTTAGTTTTTAAAAGAAAACATACTTCAGATATATTTTGGGGTTTGATTTGTTTTTTTTTTTTTCACTTGCATGATACCTCGGGAATCTTTAAAAGAATTTAAAATGTTATAGCAAGGCTAATGATCAGTTAGTTAATAATCAGTGCATTAAATTGTTATTAAAATAGTGCCTAGTAAATAAGCCAGTAAGTCAAGTACATAAATAACAGTTTACTGCATGGTAAATAGGAAGTCATTCTGAGGAGAGTATTGACTTTATTCTATATTCATATGTTTCTTGTATGATGGTAGAAGAAATGGTATTGTGATATATTGTGCTCTGACTACTAAGTATCATTAAGGAATGAGAGCAAAAATGGTAAGGCTTAAAAAAAAGTAAGTACAACACATACCATATTAGTGTCATCAAAATACAATAACCATTGCCATCAATTAGTGAGAGGGATTTGGTAGTTTACATCTTAAAAGTGAACCCATTTGAATCCTGTGCTGTTCTCATTCAGAACTCCTCTAAAAAATCGTTTGACAGATTCCCAGAGCTGTCACACAGCCTGTAGAATATGGTTTATATATGCTTACCATATTGTGTTGGAAGGAATCCATTTTTGTAGTACTCTCATTTTGTTCAGTCAAAATTACAAAATATGAAGCAGTAAATTTCCTACCTAGTAATCTCTGTGAGTATGGCGTGGTTTCAGGGGATTTTTTTGGTACAGTCTGACATTTGTTATGTGACTGAAACAAACTTCTGAGTTGACTGTACTTTTATGCTGTAAATATCTCCTTTCAGATGTTCGGTTGCTGCTTAATAATGACAATCTTCTCAGGGAAGGAGCAGCCCAGTAAGTACCAAATGCCACATACTCAGTTGCATAAAAGCAAGATGTTTTTCAGTAAGACTTTCACTGCCAGTAAGTGATTGGTTTAAAAAGATGCATGCTTGGCAAGTAAAACCCTGTTATGTGTGGTGTGCATCTTTGATCAAGATTTAATTCTTGGCACAGGAGAGAGCTGTATTGGATCTTAATGATTAGAGCAACTGTTTTGGAAATGAGCGACCTGGATTGTAGAACTAGTCTCCACCTTTTTGAATTTTATTTTCTGTTTCTTGGTAGATGTTAGAGGCACTGAATCTGTAATATATCTGTAATATACTGCCTCCTTAGACCCTGCTTTTATGTCAAAACATTACGCCTACTGTATTTTATGCCAAAATTAGTTTCATCTGTAAGAATGGAGATTTCTGGCTTAGTAGTTTGGATGACTGGAATTTAAACTTTTATCTGTTCCTCCAGTTTCTGTGGGTTACTGTAAAGCTTATGTGTTTGTCTATACTAGGTTACTTTTGAACATAAATAATTATGTAATGGTAACTGGAATCTGCAATATGAGCATTGAATGAACCAGGGTGATTTGAAGAATTTGGGCCTGCTAGATAATGAAGCACTGACATAACTTTTTTGATGCATCATTGCCCAGATTATTAGGTATTTTTAAAATCTCCTACAGCTGCTAAGGAAAAAGATTGTGCTTGATGTAGGCTTTTGGTGTGTTTTGTTTTTTTTTTATAGTGCATTTGCACAGTACAACTTGGACCAGTTTACTCCAGTAAAAATTGACGGTTACGATGAACAGGTATGAATACAATGCAATACTTGAAATGTTCCTTAAACTGTTAAACATGTTGTGGTATTGGAACGTATCTTGTCAAGAAAATGAAAGAAATGCATCTTCCCTGCCAAAATGAGATTATGGCTCTCCAATAGTACCAGTCTGTAAGTTAATCATTTGGGGTATCTAAACAGCTTGAAATCTCAGACTGCTGACCTAAATTCTGTCAGACCTGATTTAGGGCCTTAGAAACAATTTGCTCCATCATTAGTACTAGAAACATGAATTTCTATATTGCATTGTTTGTTGCAGTAAGAGGGTAAGATTGAGGGGTTTTTTTTCTGAGTTAGTGTGTCATGTCCTCCCTTGTTATATGCATATTTTGTTTAAAATATGAGTCTTTGGATATGAGTAAGCTCAAGTTTAATGTAGGATATAATTAGATTTAGCATGGTATTTTTTTCTCTTTATTCAATAGCAAATGTTAACTAAAAATGTATCATGCAGGTTTTGATAACAGAACATGGTGATTTGGGAAATGGAAAATTTTTGGATCCCAAGAACAAGATTTCTTTTAAATTTGATCACTTAAGAAAGGAGGCTACTGATCCTAGACCCCATGAAGTTGAAAATGCCATAGAATCCTGGAGAAATTCAGTTGAAACAGCAATGAAAGCCTATGTGAAAGAACACTACCCAAATGGTGTCTGCACAGTAAGTACTAAATCATATAACCACTGTAGCACTGTAGATAGAAATCTTAAAAAAAAAAAAAGAGGGGGAAAAAAAAAAAGTAACTATTTGTAAACCAGGATGATAGGCAGTTTCAGCTGTAAAGAATTTAGTCCTGTCAAGGGTTCATACAGGGAAATGAAGGAAAGCTTCAGAAATGTAATATTTCAGCTATTGGATTACTAGTGGGTGGTTACTGCAGGTCATAGTGAAAATTTACCTCTTAGTTCTGAAGAAATTTTATTTAAATTTCCTAAAGCATTAAGAACTTCTGTAGACTACTGCAGGTTGATCCTGTTGGTCCTGGCTAGCTGGCTGGTTACTTTAAAAAAAAATTAAAAAAAAAAAAAATAAATCCATACAATATAAATGTCTGTCTTGGCTTGGTTTACTGACAAAACCATCAGTAAAGCAAACAGTTTTGTCTCCATCACATCTCCTATATACCCAAGTACTGTATTCTTACCACCAGAATCAGGGAGTTCTAATGACTTCCTAAAATAAAACCTCTCAGTCTGGACTAAAATAGCATTCATTTGCTGTTAGGAACCCTGTTACTGTTTAAAGTTCAGCAAGCTGATCTAATGATAGTTGTCCCATACTTTGTATTAACCTGATGGAAAAAGTAACGAGGAAAAAAACCCAAACAGTTGTGTTTAGCAAATTGAATTGAATCCGCAGGCAGTCATATGAGTTCCAGCTTCTGTAAAGGAAAGCAGATTGTATGTTCACTGAGATCCTTTTTAGTACTTCTTGATTTTAGGGGCTAAAGCAGAGCAGAGGACCAAGCTTACCCTTTTAATCACCTTTTCGCTACTCTGTAAAGGCTTAAATCATCATTTAATTGTAGAATAACTGGTATCTGAAACCCAGCTGGTAATATATATTGTCACAGCTGCCACTACTATGGGCTTAGAATTCCTACAGTTTCAGAAAAATGAGTTCACAGTATATAAAATTTCAGTTAAGATGCTTGACCTTCAGATTTCTAATATTAAATTTTCTGCATTGTAACATACACTTTAATGTTTCATGTACTGAATATTATATAAGAACTATAGTAGTTATAAAATTTTACAGTTTATGTAACGATGATAGAACTAGATATCTAAGCAGTTTGAGCAAGACAGATACTGAAACTTTAACTCTGGGTTTGTTTGTTGGTTTTTTTTTTTCATCTCTAACCAAGGTGTATGGTAAAACAATTGATGGACAGCAGACCATTATTGCATGCATAGAGAGCCATCAGTTCCAAGCAAAAAATTTTTGGTAAGTTTCTGTATGGATAAAAATACATTCAAATACAGCAAACTGAATAAGTGGAGTAGTGCTGTTACACTGATAATCCTTAGTTCGGAGAAGGAGGTACAAATACGTCTTGCATGTGACTTGTCTCTCTCCACCCCACCCCAAGTTTTTCTGGCGAAATTATGTAGAAGTGTCTTCCTTTATGGTAAGTAAAATTGCAGACTGCATGTCTGCATCTCCTTTGCAGAACTTTGGGAACTTTATAAAACTTTTTATGACTCTTCCAGTTATCACACTGGCACCAATACCTGTTTCTGTGTTCCCTAATACAGTTGCTTTTGCTTGTGTTGCTTCCTTTGTGACTGACAGAATAAAACCAGCTCCTTCTAGTTTGCATGTCTCGGAAAAAAGAGGGTGACCAGAGATTAATTTACTGTAGGACTTGAATCATTAATTTTTGGGTGATGGTAGATAAAGGTGATCTTGGATGAAATTAACTCTTACAAACTGCAACTTGATTTGGCTGAAAGATGTTTTTCGTGGTCTGGATAGCTCAGGAAATGGGCCAAGGTTAAGATAAATGTAACAGTATTGGAACTGGGTTAAGGAAGTATCTCCTAAAGAGAGCTAATATATGCAGTTGTCTGAAGAACTGTATGTCATTATTAATTTATTTGCTATTTTGCATCTGCTTGAAATTATATTAAGTAATCCCACAGGTAACGAATGGAAGTGCAGAAATCTTTGTTTTCTGATTCTGAAGGTGAATATTACATATGCATAGTAACTTCAGCATATGTCTGTATCAGTTAAATGATTTATCCAGTATACTGTTCCACAGATTTTAATTGAATTTGCATAGTTATTAATTTCTCCTGATGACTTAAACGTGACTAGTTAAGTCTGTGTGTTTTGCATCAATATTAAAAGTAACTTAATAGTGATTTTTTTTTAGTTTGAAAGTGTGAATGAATTTTCATATTCCAAATAGTTACTTTAATATCATAGTCTTTAAAGAGGAGGAACAGATATGCAACAACCATTTATAGATGGAGAAAATTTTCCTTTAAAGTTTTCTTTATTAAAGTTATGGTCAGACATCTATGGGTAAATATTGACCATGTTTCTAGGAGTTTTACAGGGGGATAGTCAGACTCTTAATTTTCATTCTTAGCAAGTTTTAATAAGTGCATATTCGTTTGGGGGATTTGAGGATGGAGGAATGAATTCAAAGTTTACTGGGCTTCTCAACTGTATGTTTGGATATCCAGCCCAAGCCACAGCCAGTATTAATTCTCACGGGGTCCTAGCTTTTTAGGCAACCTACTGTGAAAGCAAGTTTGGATGACAGAAAACCAATACATGCCAAAGAAAAGTGTTCTATGGATTTCTGAAATAACCATCAACATAGTAGGATAGGTGGTTTATTAAAGAACATGAAAGAAAAGGAAGGACAATTAAATATGTGCAAGATATCCTAAGTCAGCAGAGGTAAATAAAGTAATGACACTTTGTTTTTAACTTAGAGCATTTCCCACAGAAGGATCCTTCTGAACTTGAAATGTTTTTCTTGGAGTAGCATCTTAAGTACAAACAAGATATCCCAGAGTGGAAATATTGTAGTCATCTTAACTTCAAGGACCACAAAGTGACTTAAGCAGCTAACAAATCTGTTAGCTAGTTATTGAATTCCACGCATCTAAAAACTAATATTGTACCTAAAATATAGTTCAGGATGTAAGTTTTCTTATAATTAATGGGTCCATCTGTCAGGCTACCAGTAATATTAGTGTTCACTGAGTTGGGTGACCCTTTCAGTTTTCTTAGAGATGCCAACAAGCTTCTGAGTTGCCTTATTTTGAATTTTTAGTGATAATCTATAATTTGGATATTGTCTGAAATAATAACCATGTTGGTTGGATACTAATAACTGAGTTTTTAGTATCTAAGATCTGTCAATGTAGATCCATTAGTAGCTGTTAATCTTGAAGTCTCACTCTCTTTCCCCTTATTAAATCACTGGCATCTACACCTAATATTAGTAGAATTGGAACTCATAGTATCAACTTTCCTTCTTTAAGAGCAAACAAAAGAGGAATCAAGAGACAGCAGTGCATTCTTAATATAGCTCTAATGTACTAACCTTCTAATCCACTAACCTCATAACTAAATAAGAAAATGTCTAGTCTACAGGAAAGAACTCAGGTGAAACTACAATCATCCCATACTGTTTTCCAGATGTTTGAAACTCCCTTTAAGCAATTTGGCAAGGATATAGAATTTGTGGAAGGAAATAGTTATCCTGGAACAGAAATGCTAGAAAAGCTGAAAGACCTAGTTACAGTTCAGCATAGCAGAAAGTCTTGCTACTTTAATGTTTCTTCCATTCAAGATTTTCATAGTCTGATGTGAAGTGTGACTTTGACTGATCCAGCAAGTTGTCTGGGTCCCAGAAACAAAATATTGACTATATATGCCCAATGAATAATAAAGGAGGGAGAGAACACTGAAGGCTTTAGGCATTTTCAGAAGTTAAATTCTATTGTTAAAGGTCCTTACTAATAAATCTCCTTGGTCTCCATCCAAAACTGAGCTTAAATATTTTAGGGAACTGTTCTCGACTGATTACAGGCTGAATCTTTAGGGAAAGATTTTGTGCATGTGTTGTTAAATAGCATATTTCATTCTCTGTTTTCCTCTTAACTATTAGTTGTATGTGGGGGAGGGGGAGTTCTTAACCAGTGGGATGACATCTGATTTCTGGTTTATTTTTTTAAAGGAATGGCCGTTGGAGGTCAGAATGGAAGTTTACAATCACCCCTTCAACCACTCAAGTGGCTGGCATCTTGAAAATTCAGGTATGCTTATCTCAAAATGTGTCCTGATCAGTAAAGTCTCTGGTTATCATCAAGGGAGACTTCAGCCAGTGTATTAAATATTCTTAGAGAATCTGGGGACACAGTAAGCTATGCAGAGATGCCCATTCAGTTACGTGTTAGAGACCTAATTATTTACCTATTCCTTGCAAATGCAAAATACGTGTTTAATGTAATGATTCAGAAGACTTCAGAAGATGTATTCACCTCAGCTAGGCATATATACCTCTTTGGTTTCCTGTTTCTTGAATTTGCGGTGGCACAAGCCTTTAGTGAGGGTAGGCTCTTTCTGAAGTAGAACTTTTTTCTTTTCAACTGATAATAGCAGTTGTTTTTCATGTTAGCTACCCTATTGTTCAGAAAGGTGGGAATATGGTTTCAGTCATTCCACCATCTGAAATTTTTGAATTCAGTTCTCCTTCATTCAGAATTTGCCCTTCCTGTTGGCTTTAGAGCATTCAGAAAGGAGATACTGTCCAAGCAGGAATGCAGAAATCTTGAGACCAAAGGAAGTCTGACTGTCATGTGGTAGGCAGGGGTGCTTGACTTCTTGGATTGGTTCTCTGGAATGTGTACACATATTTTGCTGGAGTTGTTTAAAACAGTTCTGGGATCGGGGACTAGAATCTTAGTGCAGTCTGGCTTTTAGTGTAGTGTTTTGTTATATTTTTACAAGACATAGAGTCAAGTTACCTTTTCTTGCTTTTTCTGTGCCCCTGTGAGTTTTGCACTTTATTACTGTTCAGTGATGACTTCAGAAGGAAGATGGAATTAAATGTTTTTCTAGCCATAGCCTCAGGCTAGGATGTTATTTTAGGATGTGGTAGCTGTGTTCAGATCTACCCAAGCAGGGAGTCTGAATGTGATTTCCCATTCTGGGGGAAATTCTGTAACTGGAATGATAGTCAAAATGTGGAGAGCCATTATTATTGTTGTCAGATCAAGACTGTTATGGTAAGCATGCAAAGTAACTTCTAGGCTTCTCAAGACTTTGGGATAGTCTAAGTAAACTGACACTTAAATCCAGCTTGCAGCAAAACAGGCATTTTCTCCACAGCATGTACTTTTGGTTAAATGTCTTAAGAGATTTTCCATAACAAGTAGGCAGGTCTCTACCTAATTCTGTGAAAGGATAGCCTAGTAAACAGCCTGGTTTAGTCAGGTTTTAAACAATATCTCGATTTGGGTATCAGCTGATCTTGTCTCTTACTATTTCACATAATTAGTCAAGTCATTATTTACATTTGCTAAAGTCTCTGTCCAGGGGAGCAATGAAAAGTTTTACTTTTTTTCTTGTATAGTTCCTATACAAGAACTTCTTGATAGGAACTATTCCTTGGTCATTTCACCAAGGAATTTTGAACTCAGTTTCAAATTTTTAGAAATTGTGTACAATTTCTTCAGTGTATGTGGGAGTGCTCCCCCTTTCCCTCTCCAAACAAACAAAAAAAAGTGTTTTAATTTTTTAAAGGAGCACAAATAATCTAGAATATGAACTCAATACATTAGTAGAATTTCAGAGTACTGAAATCTCAGTGTTATTTGCAGAATCTTTATGACAGCAATACAGCCATTGCCCTGCTTCTGCTAAGATCTGTTAGTATAAGTTGGGGGAAATTCCAGCATCACCTGCTGTCTTCAGGTGTCCTCTGTATTTTTAAGGTCACTTGCACAATTTTCTTCGTTCTTAAATTCTATTAATAAATTCTAATATAGGAGATTCTCACCTGTCTTATTCTCTTCCATTGCTTAATTTTCTTTTAATTATATGTAACGGAAATACTGCAACAGCAGAGCCTTTTACTAAAACTAAGTCCCTGTGGTGCTTGGCATGCTCCAACTGTGCATGGAAAACAACTGATAAGTGTACTGGTTACTAATTTTATCTCTTAGATAATGTGTTATTCTCATCCCTCCTTAGTTAACCTTTCCAAGAGGTTCTGTTCATAAGCATCATCCTTCTTGTAGTCTTCTGAACCCAGACCTAGAGTTCTAGAAGGATGTCAGCAGTGAGGTATAGTACAGAACAGTTGCTTCTCATATTTTGTATACCCCATCCCCAAATTAGATTTTACTCTTCATCCCTGCTAAGTTTTTAGGCCTGAGTGTTTGTGAAGAATGTGACTCAGTGAGGCAAATGTTTGTGTTGTTGGCCTCAGAGCACAGGGGAGGTTTGGGCCCTCTGCAGTGGATTGTGACAGAGAAGGGGGATGATATGTACTGCTTTGTATTCTGTTCTTTTGTTGGCCGGTCTCAGAATTTTGCACTGAGTAAGCACTTCTCATCTTTTAGGAACTGGATTGAAAAAGGCTAGCAGAAGTTTCACCCAGTAGTCTTGAATTGAGAATAAGCTTATTTTATGGTTAGGATGATACCTTTTCTTGAAAAACAACTATTTGACAATAAGCAAAATAATAATATAAGATGAATCATAGGAAGTAATGTTCTGATCTAGGAAACCTACCTTTTGCTTAGGTATTATAGTTGTGTCATGTTTTCTCTAATGCTGCTTATAAAATTGAGGGTCTCTGACACACATGATCATAATGTATATGAAATGATAGTGTTGTGCATTAATACTGATAGTATTGTGCCTAATTATTAGTTATTAATGTGCATTAATGATGATAGTATTGTGCCTAATAGGGTGAGAGACAAATGTTTCAATTCCTTACAACATCAGCTATGTTGACTTCAAAGATCTTTTACAATTTTGATGAAGATGCCTCTTGAGATGTCAGTGAGCTGCATAACTCTTCTGTATCAGTTATTGTGAATAATTACATGTAACTTTATATATGCTTCTTATTTTTTAAAAATTTTCCAACAATTGCATTCGAAACTCAATGTTTTCAGATTCTTCCCAACTGAATTTAAGAATATTGGAGTTAGCTTGGGTAGAGTTTTACTGGTGTCCTCCTCCTGCAAAATAATGAAGGCGGCTGTTCTATAGATATAACATTTCAGGAATAAATAGATTTCATTCTTCTTTGCTGTCTAACCTCGGCAAACTTTGACCTCCAAATGCTTCTTTGTCTAGATAAATACCAGCTTTTGTTATAAGCCAGATTTAATAGAGGAAAATATCAAAACCAGGCAGATCTAGAAAGGGAAGCTTAATGTTGCGCTGTCACTAGAAAACAGCTTGGGTGAAGCAGCAAACAACTTCACAGTATCCTGAAGCCTTGTCAAAACTATTCTTGTTTTAAATATATCTTCATCATTTCAAGAGTTTCTATTAAGGTCACATAAATAATATATTGTTGTCTTCATGATGTCAGTCAAAACCTCAGCTACTTTGCATGAAATAATACTAATATTACTTAAGGCACATCAACACAAAAATGTTTCCAGAGTAGTTTCTTTACATTGCTCCTCAAAAATATTTAAATTATAAAATGTCTTAGTTTTCCTATTGGTTTTTGTTGTTCTGTAACATTTTGTGTGGTTTTGATTTTTATAGGTTTGTTATTATGATAAATACTACAATACTTTGATTTTCCTGTCTGTTGCTGGTCTATAACATTTAATATGAGGTTCTTTGTTTAATTTTCTGTAGGTTCACTATTATGAAGATGGTAATGTTCAGCTGGTGAGCCATAAAGACATACAAGACTCTCTAACAGTGTCTGTAAGTGAACTTTAAAGACCTTAGTGTGTCTATTGAAGTGACTTTTTAATTTAAAAAGAGAAACAACCTTAAAGTTCAGAAGTTTGGAGACTAGTTTGCTCTTCTTCATTAATGGGGATTAATGTTCTAATTTTTATATATTTTTTAAGTAAAATTTACTAGTTTCACCTAACATGTAGTTACTATTTAGAAAAAATAACTTGTGCTCGCATGTGACTTATATAAACTAAATTAACTTGGATCATAATGCCTCAATTAGCTTGCTGTCTTTTTGCACTTCTATTTACAGGTCACTCTGCAGACCAATGTTTGGTATTAATTTTTTAATATGAAGGAGATTTCAGTTATAATATCCCACTTTAGTGCAATCTCTACAAGGTTGCTTCTCTTGCTCACTGCAAGAAGACCAGTATGCTAAAAATAATAAACAAATGGCTACCACGTGAGAAGCAGTAGTGGGTATTCTCCCTTCATTTCTTTCCTGTCTGTAACTGGTGCTGTCAACCTCTTGCTTTTCTGTATAAAAAGCCCCTTCAGAGATGCTTTGCCTTGAGAAGAGTAACACCCTTCACATTTAAAACATTGGATTTTTCATCTTTTTTCCAAATGGATCACTATAGTAATGAAGAGCAGACAGCAGAAATAAAAGTTGTTTAGAAATGGTACCATATGCAGCATTACTAATTCTTAAAGGATACAACATGAACTCCTATTACTTTTGAAATAATGGTTCTCTTGCCTACTGGAAATGGTATTTATAAACAGTAAGATTTTCTGTTGGAGTGTTCTTTAATAAGACTTAAGCCAGTGAGGTTAAACTGGCAAAGGGAAATTGTAAAAGTGAACAGTAGAATTATTTTAATGATAACAACTAGTAGTGACTAGTTTGGCTCAAAAGCTTAATTCATCAGTGAAGGTTGTTGTTTGCAACTATAAAGCAAGGCTTGTTGGCTTTTCAGTTGCAATAGCACCATAAAGAAAGTGGGACTGTGGTACCAGCTGATAAGTCTTCTGGAGCTGTAGATATAAAATTACTTTTGACCCCCTAAGGAAAGGGGGTTTAGTCATTCAACTAAGAGTTGCTTCAGGGAAGGTTATGTGGAAGAAGTTCTTCTTTCAGTAGCTTTTGCTTCACTTTCTATTGGGAAGAAACTTAATCCTGTTCCTCAATTGAGTAAAGCAGCAGAAGACTGATGAGTAGAAAAACATCATTTACATAATTTTCCTATCTCCTGCCAGAACAAAAGCAAGTATGCTGCTGGTTACCAATTTTTAGTCTGGCTTTGAGCTTCATAGAGGGCAGAGGCTGTAAAAGTTCTTATTTCACACAGATGGAATGGTAGGTAGATTAAAAGGAGCCCCGATGACTACTCTTCTTTGTTGTTTGGCAGAGAAGCAATTTTGTACTATCAGTAGGCACAACTGAAATAAATGATTCAAGAGTTCTCTTCTTGCTAGAGCTATGAATAATTTTGCTGAAGGTTACTTTTTTTTATCCCTAATTTCTCTGAGCCAAATAAGACCTCATACCCCTAATTTCTTCCTTTTATTAGCAGAGCCTTTGAAATCATTGCCTCAGTTCACTGAAAAGTCAAAACATTTTCATTTGTTCTACTTGGTCTCTACCTCCTCCTTCATCTCTCCACAGTGTCCAGGAATGCTTTCACAGCTGTTAGGTGCAGTTTCACTGAAACTTTGAAGCAGTTATAGTTGAAGCTGCCATCGCTTTCTCCCAGTCTTTGCCATTGTAGAAACAAGGGATCACATGGGGGATGAGCTTTCTTAACTTTGAACAGCTTCTGAAAAAGTACCCTTAGGAACGTCTCAAACACCAAGTTGGAAGTTTCAAAATCCATGAACCCTCACTTTGTTCTTGAGACTTCTTTTGAGCGCCTCAGCTAATTTGTCTCCAAATTGACTGATGGGTCTTTTTTTTAATTTTTAAAACAAACATACACTTACATACTTAAGGATGAGGCAGGAAGCCAAAAAACTGTTTATCAGTCATGATGAAATTTGGATATTTTGGTGTGTTGCACCCTCATTTTTGCAAGATATCTTGCGGATGTGTTTATAAGATTAGGTATATAAAGTCTAGTGTTTGGCTTGGCTTAGTTTCCAGGTTCAGAATGTTCAGAGGTAAACAATTTTGGTTTGTTTTTTTGGTTGTATTCTCCATACTTCTGGGTTAGCTGGTGTTCTTTAAGTTTTCATGAATTTCTACTGGAAATTTAACATTGATAATGTTAATATCTATATTTCCTGTGTTTGAGATTTGTGTGTATGCCTTGTCATATTTCCAAATGCTGTTCTGTTCCATATGTCTCTTTTATCTTACCATAGAATTTTTAATCAAAATATTTTAATGAGTTCCATGGTAATCTTTATGCTTGTTGCAGTTTGCCTGTTTTTATTTTTTAATATAATAATAATATAACTATAATAATATTGTGGCATATACCTTTTGGATGAATGTTTTGTTCAGTTTTGTTTTAGCCACTAAATGGTCATGTGTTCTCATGGAGTCTACCTGACATCACTCATAACTATAGGAAAAAACATAATTCAACTGGTCTTAAAATCATGCTGTACATCAGACCTAATTAAAATGCTTTTTTTCTAGAATGAAGCCCAGACAGCAAAGGAATTTATAAAAATTGTAGAGGCTGCAGAAAATGAGTATCAGGTATGTTGGAAACAAACACTATATCCTTACTCATGTATAACATAACATTACCATATACTTAACCAAGTAATTCTTTAATTCTTCCTAGTAAGCTTTTGATATTAAGATAATGCAGTTCCATATATAAAGACTGCATGCTGCTATTCACTGTATCCTCCCTTTCCATACCTTTTGGTGGTTGCAACTACCTACTTAACATTACATCAGAAGTTATTTTTTTGGGAGCTGAAAAGTCCCTGGCATGATCAAAAATTCTGATTTCTTTCAATATTAGTGCATTCCTTAAGTGGAATTTTTGTACAGATTCTGTTCAGAGGCTAATCTGTTAGCTCTGCTAAATATGACTATAAGCACTATCCATTTCAATTAGTCACTTTAAAGTTAGAAAATTATAACTGTTCTGTAGAAGTGGATTAATGTTCATTTCGGTCTTGAACATAAGATATAATTTCAGACACCATGTTCCGTCAGTTTTAAAAAAACTTTAATAAAAATTTACTAAGTATGTATCGTATGCATATATTCAAGTTCATATGATGATGTGGACTGGCTCTAGCATCCTCACAGAAAAAACAGTGGAAAACTTCGGTGTCTGAAATTAATGATGTGTGAGCTAACTCCGATTGGTAGTTTGTTCATGCTGCTGATTAACCACACTGCAGTTTGCAGAAACACCTAGGCTATGGCCAGTTTATTGCATCCATCTCACTAATTTTCTTCACACAGTTTCATTCTAGATCTAACAGCTTTCCTTCATAAAATATCTTAATTTAGCATGTTTTTATTAAGCCTGTTTAAGAAGTAACAGACTACTCAATCATTTAACTTTTTATATAAAAACGTTTTAGTTCTGTTTTTCATGTGTCTTTATTTTGTATGACTTTGTGTTTAACAGACTGCTATCAGTGAGAATTATCAGACTATGTCAGACACTACTTTCAAGGCCTTACGTCGACAATTGCCAGTTACCCGCACCAAGATTGACTGGAACAAGATCCTTAGCTATAAGATTGGAAAAGAGATGCAGAATGCTTAAAGTGAACGTTGCATGACTGGATCATTTTAGTGTCCTTGTATACAAATAAAAATTATTACAAAAAGTATATGGAACTGTCAAATCACCCAGTCAGCATGGGCTTTTGCCATTGAAAATCACTGTAAGTAGTTTGGTTAGAGCACAAAGCTTAGCTAATTGACTTTTTTCCTTTTTCTTTCTTTTCAGAGGGTTGCAACTTCAGTATAGCTGAATATCTTCCTTTAGAGTTTCTGTTGTAACTTTATTTTTTTATAATGAAGAGACCATGCCTTTAGTTTTCAATTACACATTAAGAACAGTTTGAAAAATATTTTTGCATATGATAACCCTTTCTCTTGCTTTCATGTGAAATGGACATCTTCCCAAATTTGCTGGATTTCTTGTGGAGATCACTGATGTGCATTTCTTGGTCAAGGTCAATATGGAGTTAGCCTTAGGTGCTGTTTTTGAAATCATCTATCCTTTCATTGTCTGTAAAACTGGGAAAAGCATTTTCTATATCATTTAAACCTTTCAGAATACTTACTTAGCTAGCTCCATGGTAACTAAATTTTTTTTTTTTTTAAAAAAAAGGCCAAGGTGTTTTGAAATTAAATAAAAGTACTTATTTCAGAAATGCATTTAATGCTTTGTTCCTGAGAATTGCTTAAATGAGCTCAAACTCCATCTACCCTTGAGGGTTTTTTCATAAAGCCACAAATGTATTATAACAAGGCATATGTAATATATATAATCCTGTACTCATTACTATGTTAGTTTATTTTTTTCTTGGATTGAAGTGTACTAAAATTCAATGTGACATTAAAAGGCAAATTTTCTATTTATTTGAGTATCAGATTGCTTCCTGATATAGCCTATTTTTGGTGGTTTTATATATTTTTAAGATACTGCTTAGAACAGCCACAGACTTGTGGCCTATTGGCTATTCTCAATGTATTTGGAGATGCTGTAATATCATCATCCATTGTTTCCATTTGCATTTTTAAAATATCTATACATATGTAAGTCTACTTAAAACAGGTATCTTTTGGCTTCTTATTGGCTACAGATGATGGAAGAAAAAAATAATACATTTTTCTGGAGAATCCTTTCCCTGTCTGATATATCTTGTGTTGAAAATGGATGTCAGGTATCAAAAAACACAGACTTAATTACAAATGAGCTATAACATTTCTATGAAATACATAGATTAATTTTTAATTGGATGAAAACCTGTTTTAAAACATGCTACCTAATTATATGCTCATGATGGAAAATTAAACTGTTGGGTTTGGGGTTTTGGTTTTTGTTTTGTTTTTTTGGGGTTTTTTTTTTTTTAGAAAGCAGGTATTTATGCACACTCCTAAACCAGTAAAACTTACACAAAGGTTTTATATCTTTGTTTATAGCATGATTCAATTAATTACCTTAAACTGTTAAATTACAGCATAGCAAGAGAAAGAGTCTGGACTTGTACTAAGTATAAAAATGTACACACAAAGTAGTTTACTGTTTGAATTGTAATAGCAATACCCCTATATTCTGTTCTTCAGTGCTCTCTTATAAAGGGGTATAGAAGTAACCGAGCTTCTTGAAATTGCTGCTACTTTACAGTACTAAACTGTTTAGTAGAAGAGTGAGATTTGTTCTACCGCAGTCTTCCTGGAGAGTTGCCCTCTTAATTGTCTTTGTAGATCAGCTGTTGAACCAATGTTGTTCTTTAAAAGAAGGTTTATAAAAGCTGTATATGAGCTAGTAACAGATGCTGAGTCACTGTCAAGTCAGGCTGTCAGTCTTTACTAAGATCTAAATACTAACCTTGTTTGAAGAATTTCTTCAGCATATTTAAGAACAAGCTAAAATGAAAAGGCAATGAATTGACAATTAGGAGAACTGTTAATGGGCAACAAAGGTGCAAATAACTTTTCTAGCTGTTAGAATATTGCGTATGACCGGAATCGGCACTGGCTAAAAGTCAGAATGCTATTTTTCTTACCTGAAATAAAAAGCTAGTTTTAAATATATTCCTAATAAAGAGGTATTTTACTGTGAAGTACTCTATTACTATGTTTCCCTCTGTTTATTCAGTCCTGTGATAGTCTTAATTCCATATCTTCAAAAGAATAGCATCTTACAGGTTCAATTCTACCAGTAGGGTGACATAAGTAGATTTGTATTACTTCTATTTTTTTCTATTGTGTTAATTTTTAGTCTGAGATGATTTTACACCTGGAACATCAAATTTATTAAGTTATAGCTTCAATAAAGCAATTTATAAGTAAATCAACTATTCTGTTACTTTTTAAAAATGGTATGCTGTATCATATTTAGGGGTAATGGTTCCCCAGATGAAGCTGACCCGAGTATCAGCTGAGGCACATGGTACATTTGGAGTTACTCATTTTTCTCAAAATTGTGGATGTCACTTGCACTTCTTTTGTTTCTATCCTACCCCTTTTAAATTGGAGAACTTTAGAGCTTGCTTGGTAGGCTTTAGGGTACTTTGTGTAGGTAAAGCACTTTCTCTGATAAATTTTGCTGTGGCAATTGTCTTAATGTGAATTACTATTTGTTCATATTCTATTTTTAAATATAAAGACAAGCTTTGTATTGTGGAATGTTGATGTACTAGACATTATGGCTTGTAATATGGACTTGTAAAATGCTTGCGTTTATGAAGTGTATTACATCTTATGCATTTTAGTGCCCCTTTATACAAAGGAATTTTTAACTTCTGCAAGTAAGCAATTGTTCTTTCTGAACATCTGCAACAAGAGTGGCAATTCTGCTTTCAGGTTCTCCTGAGCAGCCCCTTTTTGTATGTCTGTCTAAAAAATCATACTGCAGGTAGAATGAAACTTTAAAATCATTGTAATTTTGATTGCATCACTACTGCTTCTTATGCTCTACATGCTGATAACAGTTCTGCCGGCTGGTTCAGCTGGGAACACTGCAACACAGCTCACTAGTAAGTGGTCATTCAGACCAGCGTTAAAAGTGTTGCGTGAGACTGAACATCCAAATAGACATGTTCTCTTTAGGCGATTGCTTCAGCTGCATCTACGGCAGTGATGTATTTTGTGCAGTTTGGGAGTAAATCCCTCTCTCATCTCCACTTGCCACATACTGGTTTGGCTGACAGAGCAGTTTTGGTGCTGAACTGGGCTCTGGGTGTGCACCAAATGCCCTCCAGCTCCTAAAGGCAACCTGAGTCCATAGCAGTGCATTCCTTCAGGCAGACTAAACCTGGCCTTCAAATTTCCAGACTGTATATACTGTAGGTATAGAGGTTGAACATCAGCTGTTTGATTCTATGGATTTGCTCCTGTCATACTGAACTACATGCTGACATGGACATAGCTTCTGCCACGTTCGTTTACTGGAAAGACTGAACCTGTTCGTCCTCTGATGCAACTGTAAACTAAGTTTAGATTAAACTTAGTTTGTTCATAACCTCCAAGTGTCAGTTTTTGTGTGACAGTGTCAACTCTGAACTTTTTTTTTTTTTGGAAAGGGGAAAATTTGCATCAGATTTAAACAAAAAAAGCATTTCTTTTTCCAAAGCTTAAGGAAAGGAACTGTGAATGTGTACTTTACTCCTTCTGTGAAAATTAATGCTTAATACTTGGTACGTTTTCTTATTAGCAGTATTTTTCTCTGCTACCATGATTGCTTACCTGTAACAAGTATTGCTCAGCATGGTATTATCCATGTGCTGATCACACAAGAGGGTAAGAGTGGCAATTGCTGCCCTAAAGGATATATTCTGTAAACATGTTTACTTTTCTGTGCATTTTTTCCTTGCAAATCAATACAGTTACGCAGAGGCAAATCTGTTGGGTTTATTCCTCATAGGAGGAGCATGTAGGGACTTTTGCCTGACTAATTGTAGTTTGAAATAACTTCAGATTTGAAACAACTTCCATCTTACAGGGTTGTAAATGTGCCTGCTAAAGTAGAATTTGGTTGGTTGGTTTGGGGGGACAACACCACATGCTAATAATGATTTGTAGTAAATAATTTCAGTTTTGTATTTAAATGTGCTTAATATTTTTCAGTGTCAGGTGTATGTTCACTACAGCCACTGTAGGCATCAGTGAAAGAATTGAGAGTACTTCCTTTAATAAGTAGCTTCCCAGCGTACAACTCAAAATTTGAGTTACCCTTCAATATTATTTCAGAAATTACTTAGGGATGATAATGTAGAAGGCTGGGCTATCGCTTTAGCACAACACTATGAATGCAAGCTAAGCAGTGTTGTGCAAAGGGGTTCAGAAAAGCATGCTTATGATCTCTCTTAGCAAATAAAGATGTCCTTGGAGGGATTGTCATTTATGGTGCAACAGCCTGCTAATGCAAAAGTTGCCTCTCATGGTACATCTGGAACCTCTGCTACTGTCCTCAGACCTATGGGAGAGAGGTGTGGTCCCATGAGGTAAAGAAGGGACTCAGTCTCCCTGGAGCAAATTTTCTTGTTACTGGCTAGAAGAAAACCAGACTCTCTCCTCTTTTGCAAATAAAGCTTATGCATCTAACTGAAAAATCACAGCCACAAGCTCTCAAGTGCAGGAAACAAAATAGTCTTTCGTTCTGGGGTTGCAGCTGTATTAAAGTGTTTTCCTTCTGCTTGCTTCAGCTGCCTCCCCACCCAGCGTGCTGGCTTTCTTGGGGACTGAATGGTGGCGTGCATTGTCTTGGCCTAGGCATCTGTTGCCGAAGTTGGATACTAAACGATAAGTGCCCGAAGGCAGAAATGTTCAAATTCTTGCTGTGTGGTGAAGGTCCCAGAAGGGCCAGTCATGCAGCAAGGGGCCCAAATACCAGTCCTGGGATTTGGGATGTTGTCATGCTGCCTTTTCCCAGGTAAGGCAGTACATCCAGTTATAACACGAGATGCATCAGTAAGAGTCTAAGAGATACAAGAATGTGATCGATTATGATTTTCCTTAAAGAAGAAAGGTGCCACGTGTTTCCACTCAACCAAGTCTCCTGGTCAGCCTGGAGAGCGGGAGCCTGATGCTGCAGCTCTGAGGAAAGGGTCAAAGTTGTGCTCCGGGAGCACAGGTCTGATGGAGGCTGGCAGGGTACTCACTGTCTGTGGTACATGTGCTGGTTCTCAACCTGTGCCTTGCAAATGGCAACAGCATGCTTTGAGTGTTGCTCAGGCTGTTGTTACTCTCACAGCACGCTGCGTCTTAATCCAGTCAAAACTCCCGACCGGAGTAAAATTCCTGGGTATTTGGTGGCGGGGAGGAACAGTGTGTATTCCCCCCAAAACTTTAACTGCCCTGGAACAGTTGGTGATCTGTACTCCCCCATTCCCTCTATCTCCCTCTTTTCCTTTTTTCTGTTAAGAAATGTAAAGCATATTATATTGCTTGCCACAGCTTGCTCTGTACTTAGCCAGTATATCATGTGTTCAATTAGTACATTGTAGGTAGTTAATAAATGCTTGAATTTGGAGACTTGTTGTCCGCTCCAATTGGGGATTTGCGAATCTGAGTCACTTGTCCCCCTCGCTGGAGCGGGACGTGACACTGAAGGTTAATATCTGCACAAGCAACTGGAGTAGAAATCTGAACTTTCAAGAGCCATTAGCAGTTTTAAACTGAGCAGCAGGAACAAAAATCTGCTTCCTTCTTTTATGTGATGCTGCATTGTTAAACCAGCTTTCAGATGCTTTAAAACTGGTAAAGCTTTGCAAGGCTTTCACTTTGCTGTAAAAAAAGGACCATGAGATAACAAAAACGTGGCAAAAAAACCAGTTGTTGTTAAAGACTCTGAAGTTCAGATACTCGATTGGAAGATTTCTGAATAGTGGTTTTAGAAATCTTGAATCCTTGAATGGAAAGCAAAAGCTCATCTTGTTTTTTATTCTACAGTGTGGCAGGACAGAGACTTGTCTGCTCTGAAAGAAAATAATAAAGATGATCCTTCCTCTCCCAAGGTCTTGTAGGGCTTTGGTGGTATTAGTACTAAGGTAAATACCAGAAAAAGTTAAAT